GTCTCTGTCTCAAACACACACACACACACATATATTTCTGTTGCTATGACAGCAGAACTTATCAAGTGTTATGAGTACACAGGCATGGGAAGGAGGAAAGACTTTTAAATTTTTGCATTTGGGGGCAAAGCACTTTTTAAAAGTGACATCTGACAAAAAGAAAACCATTCTGGGTAAAGAGAAAATATCAGAGATAACAAACAGAAGGCAAGTGGGAAGTGTCGCAAGCAGGCCCAGCCAGGGAGCAATAGGGCCACAGGTCCTCTTCAGACAGGGTAAGATGCTTTGAAGTAAGGTGCAGTTTCTGCTTGGGATCCTCTGACTGTTGGTACTCTGTAATGCAGGTCTGGTAAAATGTCAAAACTTTTGATTTCTTTAAAGAAGCTATAGGGTTGCAGTGTAGCTTAGTTGGTAGAGTGCTTACTTAACATGTACAAAGTCATGGGTTTAATCCCCAGCACCATACAAACTGCAGATGGTGGTGACCTATAATCCTAGCACTCAGGAAGTGAAGGCAGGAGGATTAGAAAGTCAAGGTCGAGCCGGGCATGGTGGCACACTTTTAATCCCAGCACACGGGAGGTAGAGGCAGGTGGATCTCTGTGAGTTCAAGGCCAGCCTGGTCTCCATACCAAATCCAGGCCAGCTGTGGCTACAGGGAGACCCTGATAACAAATTTGAGACCAGCCTAGGGTCCCAAGACTCTGTTTTGTTTTGTTGTTTGTTTGTTTAAAGCTGTAGATCTGGAGCCTTAAGCAAAATTGCATTTTAAAAAATACATTCCTTTTTTGTTTATGTATGTGGGGGGCATTCATGTGGGTGGGTGGACATGTGTGCACATGTGTATGTCCGTGTGCATGTGAAAGTCTGAGGTCAACATTGAATGTTATTCCACAGATGCCACCTCCCCCCCTTGTTTTCTGAGATATGGTCTCTCACTTGGCCTGTAACTCACTGACTAGGCTAGGCTGGCCAGGGATCCACCTCTAAGCTTTTTTCCCCTCTTTTATGTGATTTTGTTATGCAGTCCTGGCTGGCCTGGTATGCACTGTATAGGCCTACTTATCCATGTCAGGAGTATGCCCCTCCCCACCCACCCCTGACAGTCATGACAACCAGAAATAGTCACAGATATTAAGAAATGTCCCCTGGGAGGATGAATCTCCTTGGTCAGGAGCCATTGCTAATGGGAGGGAAATTCCCTGTTTTCTTTTTCCTTGCATTACCATGGTGTG